CCTGAAAGCTCTGAGTAAAAATTATTAAAAAGGTGGAAATTGCAAAAATGGGCCGGTCAACGAAGATTACAAGTGGAGCACGGGGCCTGGCAACGAAAGGGTTAAACCTTCCTGAATCCGGCTGTCTTCCCTGTAGAGCGTTGTGTGGGAATGGTTCGGATTAAGGGATTCGTGTGTTTCATGGCATAGCGGTTTATGAATCGCTAAGCGCAGCTGCCCCTTTAAGCCATAATGAAGCGCAGGCTGCGACTGCTATGGCGGGCACGCGGCTCTGTAGACCGGCGGGTGATGGATCAGCGTGGAATCTGCCCGGTGACAGCAGCTCGCATTTATATGGAATTATCACCAAAGGGCAGGGTGAGAAGTTGGCGGATAATGCGCCTCCGCTCAGGAGGCGGCTTCATGCGCCGTAATAGAGAGGAGTAATGTGGCTGCACTGCGCTCTCGCTGCCGGATCATATTCATAAGTGGTCTGGCTCGTGTACTAGCACATCATCCGTGTGTATAGCTTCTCTTATGGACAAGGTAGCTGGCGTGCATTCAGGGCTGTCAGGAGCAAACCCTCACCCACTCGCCACCCGAGACCGCTCCATTCCTCTGTAAAGCCGGCCATACACCTAGAGATTATCTGCAGATCTTCTATAGTCAGATGGAAAAAGTGCAACGGATCCCTCCAGCAACACTAAACTGTGTGAATGGAGGAATCTCCCACTGGGCCAAGCTTCAGTATCTTGCTAGTCGGTCCCGCTGGCTCTCATAATACCTTCCCAATGTGCGCCCTGCCATAAAGGCTGGTTATAGATTCATGCAGGTACCATGTTTTTCTAGTTTGACTATTTTGGATGTGGGGACGCACTGGGGGTCCCAGCGTGCATTTTTGGTTGCTGGGCCTCCAGTGCGTCCCTGCACCTTATAAGGAGGAGTATGCTACCTCCAGGTACACCTGCATGCAATTTATCGACTGCATTGATAAGCTCCCACTCGGAGACTCGTATACATAGTTAGGACCACACTTTGCAGAGGTGCCTTGGCGCGGCAGTGCGGCTTCTACATATTTTTGGCCAAAAGTTTGTGCAACTAAAACCTCTGATTTTAACGCATACTGTTGACAGGGCTACTTGTTTGGTTGCAGGCTGGATGGCAGGTTGAGGCTGGGGAATTTTTAGTGTTTTGTAATACCTGAACAATGCCGGCATCCAATCAGATTGTTCAGCCAGCAGAGCCGACTAGCAAGATACTGAAGCTTGGCCCAGCGGGAGATTCCTCCATCCACACAGTGTAGCGTAGACGGAGGAGTCTGTGACACTTTTTCCATCTGAACATAGAAAATCTGCAGATAATCTATAGGTGTATGGCCAGCTCTAGAGCCTGGGAGTCGAGACCCGGAGTTAGTAAGCGCCGTATTGGAGCTTTCAAAGGGTCAAAGCCTAAGGGCCCATTCACACCAGATGCAGTGCGTTCTGGTCCGATTCTGGCCGCAACGCACTGCCTCGCATTGCGGCCGCCTCACTTTTTTGTGGGGCAGGAGGGGGCGTGGCAATCCATTGAAGTGAATGGCACCGTAGCCACGCTCTCCGGCCGCAATGCGATCGGCCGCACGGGATTGCAAGGTACAATTATGCCTGTGGTCCGGTGCGGTCAAAATAGTGCTTGCAGCTTTTTGATCGGACCGGACTGCAGGCATATTGTGCCTTGCGATCCCGTGCAGCCGATAGCATTGCGGGCCGGAGGGCGTGGCTACGGTGCCATTCACTTCCCCTCCTGCCCCACAAAAAAGTGGGCCGGCTGCAATGCGAGGCAGTGTGTTCTGGCCAGAATCGGACCAGAACGCACTGCATCTGGTGTGAACGGGCCCTAAATCTGGACAACATTTTAATAAAATGGCCGCCAAAAAGCAGCTTAAATTTAAAAAGGAACTGCCTGCAATACTTGCCTTCAATCCAGAGCTGTCTCTTTCAGTACTTCCTTTTCTCTGCATGATGCCCTCAGTTTTTTAAGCTGAATGATATCCAGTGTTCTTTCAATTGGGAACACTTTGCATGCAGGGCAGTCTGGGATCACACCCTGAAAGGACACAACACCCTTGATTCAGTGCATTGGTGCGGATGGTACTGACCTTGTTACGTGAGCATCATCAGGGTAGGGCTGCAGCTAACGATTATTTTCATAATCGATTAGTTGCCTGATTTATTTTTTTTGATTAATCGATTGGTTGCTTTAAAAATAAAAATCTCTCCCCCTCCAACTAATCGATAATGAACATAGTTGCCAACTATTCTCATAATCGATTATCAATTAGTTGATGCAGCCCTACATCAGAGGATCGCCCACTTCCGGGTGTTGTTTGAAGTTGACCCCCACGCATCACATACTAGCCAGAGAGAGTAGGATAAGCCTGCAGTTTGGCTTTAATGACTCCTCCTCCTCCTTTACATGACAGTGTGCAGGTCTGGCGATTGGATGCTCCAGGCCAGGCAATGCATCCTGGGAAGAAAGGGAAGCGTTCACTTGCTCCACCATAACTGAAAGCACCAAGCACTTGGCAAAATAGCAGGGGGATCATAGAAGTAGTGTGTGGGCTTTCTTTTAAGAGAACCTGTCACTTTCCAAGAATCAAGTGAGTCTCTTTAAAGCCAAAACTTAGAATTTTAGCTTTGAATTGGAAGCGGAGAAGAATGAGAACCACAGTCCGATTCGGTCTGACATCCATCACCTGCACAGGAAGTGAGTGAAAATCTCTGAGTGGCACAGATCGTAATAAAATCCTTAATTAGGTTCTAAACTTTCCCCAATCTACTACCATGGATTTAACTGGTTGCTTGAACTTCCAATTTGAAGTATAACTGCACGTGGGCTATGAATTATGCATCCCTACCTCCTATATCTCTGCAACCTTTGATAAATGCCAGTATGATGGCTTACCTTTACTGAAGGTCAGCGCTATTTTTAAAGCAATGTGCACTGAAGTCTTCCAGAGCGGTTTGTATCCTGCTCCACCGAGAACTTGCTGCTCCCGGCCTCCACCAGGGGGTGCTGCTGGGAGACCAGGGACTTGCTCTCAATCCAGGGGGCAGAACTCTTGACCAGGTTTTAAACTCTGAACCCAGGGACCACAGTCTGGCCTGCTGATATTATAAACCTATCCTCAGTAAGTGCCCATTCACACTACAGAACAAAACACACGGCAGGATTTTATTGGAATGTGTGTGTATTTTAGCGGCACGTGTTGGCATAACCACAGAGACGAAAAGGTGAAGGCCATCCCGTAGGCATCAGCTATTATAGGTTTTGGCCAGATAACTCGAATGTGCACCCCTTCGAAACTGGTCACCCTTTGTTAGGAAGGGTTTATCTTTTAGGACAAGGCCCCGTCCATCCCCTATAGCCCATTGAGTGCCAAATGAGGTGTTCTCGTTGAAAAGGGTTGTGGGGAAGCAAGATCATAGGGGTGCACCAAGGTCTTATCTGACTAGCAAAGGCGATTGGCACCTTATGAAGTTTATAGCAGACAGGTTGGATTCCATTTAAGACTTTGAGGTTTTGTACATCTGGTATACCTGTGTGTGTTTTTATAGTTGTACTGAAGTTTTCAGTTTTAATTTATCTGAATACATTCCAGGTCCATCAAACCAAATGGGGGTCTTACAATTTTGTATTTCGAAAGCAGAAATGTCTGTCCCCTGTCGGCATGCTACAGGACCCTTGCGCTCTGTGTGGAAGCAGTGGTCTCTCTCTACTGAGGCCCAGCATGATCCTTGCTAAGCCAGTTCAATGGGCCAGGAACATGAGCTTTGCTGAGCTGCTGCTCTGACTTTGCAAGGTGCCATGTTGCACTCCAAGAGACCATTGCTTCCACACAGCGCAGGGGACCTTCTCTGCAGGATGCTGGCACAGGACAAGACTTCCTCCAGGCTGTGGCTGTTTTCTACACTCTGTAAGACTTTGTACAACATTGTTTTGGTATAATTTGGAATGTATTTAGCTGATTTAAAGTGGAAGTTCAGTTTGGCTTTAACTCTTCTTGCTGTGCTTTCTTTTCTAGGAATCCTTTGGTCATACAGACTAAAGATGCGGCTATTACAACGTCACCTTCTCTGGGTGCTGTCCCGAAAAGCAACGGTTACTTGTGCAGGTAAATGGAGGATCTGTCCTTTTGTGTGCTGTCATATTCTGTACTTTATGGTAAAGCTTCAGGGGTGTAAGGTGTAAGACTGCTGGTATGATGACATCATAGGAACTTGGGATATACCGATACTAGTATCTGTGCCGATACCGAGTATTTGGGTGAGTACTCGCCCAAATGCTCTGATATCTTCCCTGAAACCAGAACTTCTGGTTAGAGGAATTCCTCTGACCGGCAGTTCTGTAGGGGAACATGGAGTCGGCTTCTCAGGCAATCAGGAAGCCGGGTGGCAAGTAATGACCCGCCTCCCGGCTTCTTGATTAGCCGGGAAGCTGGCTCCATGCTGATTGGCTGGGAAGCCAGCTTCCCAGCCAAAAAGCATTGAGCCAACTGTTTGGCCGGTCAGCATGGAGCCGGCTTCACGGCCGATCAGAAAGCTGGGGGGCTGGTTATTACTGATCCATGCTGAGTGGCTGGCAAGCCAGTTTCCTGGCCAATCACAATCGAGCAGCCCAAACAACATGGAGCCGGCTTCCCGGCATGTCATTACCCGCCGCCCGGCTTCCTGACTGCCCAGGAACTGGGGCTTCATGCCAACGGCAGCACTGGTATCGGTACTCGGTATCGGCGAGTACCGAAAGCAAAATATCGGTACTCGTTACCGAAAAAACGGTACCGGTGCATCCCTAATGGAAAGCCGTTTAGTACCTGAATATACCTTTAGTGACAGTGGTACCCTGGAGAGCTCAGGTATGCCTGTTCTAAGTTTGTCGTTTTGGATATCAAAGCTAAAGCTTCTTATAGGTCTGAGAGGGGGCACACATCGTAGTCATGGGCCAGATCGTATTTGTATAATGGAGTGCTCGCTTTTCTATCATGCTGAAAATAAGCGTCGTACAATAAAAGTGACTCTGATCTCACCTTTCAGCCCCACATCCAGTCACTATCCAAATTCTGCCGCCTTCACCTCCATAATATCTACAAAATACCCCCCTTCCTCACCAATGAAACCACAAAGCTTCTCATCCACTCCCTTGTTATTGCTCGTCTGGACTATTGTAACTCCCTCCTCATTGGCTGACCTCTACACAGGCCCCCCCCCCTTCAGTCTATTATGAATGCTGTTGCCAGACTCATCCACCTAACCAACCACTTAGTGTCTGCAAACAGGGAGCAGCACATTAGTGACCTCACTAAATCTCACTGCAGATCTCCTGAGACTAGCAGTCAGAGGCAGCAGTGCCTTAGATCTCACACTGCAGATATACAGCTATGAGGCTCAGTGGGGTTGAGGTCAGGCCTTCGTGTAGGCCACTTAAGTTCCTCCACACCAAACGCCTCAAACCATCTCTTCATGGAGCTGACTTTGTGCACAGGGTCACGGTCATGCCGGAGCAGAGGAGAACCTTCATCAAACGGTTACCAAAAGGTTGGAAGTGTACCGTTGTCTTAACTACTTCAGGACCGCCCACCATTAAAAAAAAACAACTTCATGTCCTGATTGTAGTTATACCAAGAACATGGCGGTGGCTGCTGTGCTTTGGTATGACTTTAAACGTCAGGCGATTGCTGTTCAGATACAAGCGATCCGGCGGCTCGCTTGTACAATGCTGGGAATGTGCTCCGCCACCAGCTACCCCGGGCTCCGCTGTCCCCCATGCGGGCCCGGGACCGGCACAGCAGATCTCCCCTGACCGATCGGAGGGAGATCAGCAAGCTTCCAGCCGCTGATCTCTCCTCCGATCACTGAATCCGGAAGTGATGTGTATTATATCACTTCCAATGTCACTGTGCACATTTTCTGGCTCCTGTAGCCAGAAGACGGTGGTGAAACATATCTCTGTTTCAGCATCTTCTTTGGGGTCCCTAGGTGACAGGGGTCTGAAAGACCCCTGATGTCTCCATAAAGAGGACCTGTCACTTCCTATTCGGTATTACATAGGGGGCTTGTTAGCCTCCTATGTGATAGCAATAAAGAGAAGTGTAAAAAAAAAAAAGAATAAATTAAAGTCGCATATATATATAAAAAATGCAAACAATTTTGTTTTAAAGTCCCCCCTGCCCCCCCTGTGCACGCAAATACAAGCACAATCACTAATCGGGTGTGCCAACGTGCAAAATCGCGCCACATGTTACATATTGTCGCGAATGTCTGAGTGAGTGCAATAATTCTAAAATGTGGATTATAACAAGGGTGCAAAAAAGTCCTTGGTCCTAAGGGGTTAAGAGTTGTATTGTTCAGTGGTGGGTTGCACTTGGCTCCAACGTGAGGTGGGGAGGCCTGGTTAGGACACAAGGTGAGGCTTACGTGCACAGCAAACCTGGGCTTACGGGGTTCACACAACACATTTGAAATGATGAATAAGATATAAAAATTACATCCAGACACATTTCAGGAGCGGCTGCTCCATTTTTATTTCTTGCTGTTCTTCTACTCTTCATACATGTGTCAGGTTCACTTTAAGGGCATCTTGCCGTATATGCTCTGCCGGTCCCCCATCTCGGGCGTCTGAGAGATTCGAGGGCTCTTACTGCAGAATGAAAAGCGGAATTACATCTGCTCGTCCCGCGTCTTTCAAGCCGCTATTAAAAATTACCATTTTGGTGCTGTTGGTGAGCGCTGAATCGAGTCTCCCGGGGCCTTCTAAAATAAGCTTCTCCTCCCTAGCTGGAATAGCAGAACATGCTCGGCGGGACGGAGGCAGCTGCTGCTGGAGAGTCATGACATGGCAGCAGTCAAGCAGAAACGCACTAGCTGCCTGTGAATTAGCTGCAGATAATTCCACATTTCACATGCTGTCAGGTTAGGACCGAGTGTTTACCGTACACTCCTATTATCCGGCAAAAAGCTGTACGGAGCTCCATGCTGCCAGCTCCCCGCTGTAACCCTTTACTGGCTCTGCAGTGACGCTTCCGGATTCTGATTTTTGTCCTCGTTCACGCCAGTAACCTCATTATCCGTTTATGTTGTGTTTAGTGAGATTCCTGTACCCGGGGTCAGAGACCGTGTCATAGACGGCACCTGAGAAGAGTAGGAAGGCAGGTGCATTTTTTTTTAGTTCTAAGGTTTAAAAGTTAACCTGTGGTCCATCTATACACACTCGAGTATTTACATATGCTTAAATAGCTGTAAATAGGAATAAAAGCAAGTCTCCACTGACCTCTGTGTCTGCAGGCACTGTAAAATAATTAATTCGCACTGAAGTCATCTCTGAGCAGCTCCACTGACCTCTGTGTCTACAGGCACTGTAAAGTAATTCATTCTCAGTTGCAGTGGAAACACTGAAGTCATCTCTGACAAGCTTCACCGACCTCTGTATCTACGGGCACTGTGAAGTAATTAATTCTCAGTTATCTTGGAAGCACTGAAGTAATCTCTGAGCAGCTTCACTGACCTGTGTATCTGCAGGCACTGTAAAGTAATTAATTCTCAAAGTTACACTCAGCACACAGCTAAGCGCACCCTGCTTCTCCCTTCTGGACCTCCTGCTTTGTGTTGAAGTATTAGAAGCTTGGCCGGTGCCTGAGTCACTGTTGGGAAAGGGGAGCAGGGGGTTTGCTGTGCTGCTCAGTCACTGCTGTGAGGGGGTGTAGGGAGAGTTGAACTGCTGAGTAAATGGTAGGAGGGGGTAGCTGAGCTCCAGAGTCACAGCTGGGAAGGGGGAGCTGAGCTCCAGAGTCACAGCTGGGAAGGGGGAGCTGAGCTCCAGAGTCACAGCTGGGAAGGGGGAGCTGAGCTCCAGAGTCACAGCTGGGAAGGGGGAGCTGAGCTCCAGAGTCACAGCTGGGAAGGGAGAGCTGAGCTCCAGAGTCACAGCTGGGAAGGGGGAGCTGAGAGGGGAGCTGAGCTGCTGCATTACTCTTGTAAAGGGGGAGCAAAAGGAGCTGAGCTGCAGCCGTTGGTCACTGCTGGGAAGGCCAAGCATGGTGATCTGCTGGAGAAGGAGAGCTGAGTTACTGCTGGGGGGGGGGTTGAGCAAGATGAATGGAGCTGCTCACTCACTGCTAATAGGAGCAGGGAGAGCTTAGGAGCAGGGAGAGCTAAACTGCCAAGTCACTGTTGGGGGCGGGAGGAAGGAGCAGGAGGAGCTGAGCTGCTCAGTCACTGCTGGTAAGGGGGAGCAGATGTAGCTGAGCTACCTTAGACAAAGACTTCAGTGCTTCTCTTGGGATAAGCTGAAATATATTAATTTTAATTGGATGCACCTAAAAACCTGACTGAGGTTCTAACCTTTTCCAATTGTTCTAATAACATTTAAATCTGTTTCTCCACTTTAAGGGATATTCCCCCCTCACTCTGTCTCCATTACCATAAAGGAAATCCTTCCCATTGACTGTACAGACAGCATTAAAAATAGGGATGCATTGATACCGATACTAGTATCGGTATCGCTGCCGATACCGAGTATTTGGATGAGTACCTATAACTCTTTCAATTGCTGGAATTTCCGGTATCAGGAAGCCGGGCAGCGAGTCGTTACATGCTGCCCGGCTTCCTGATCCCTCATCACTCCCTCATCGCCAGGTAATGACTCGCCGCCCCGGCTTCCTGATTGTTCTGGAAGCTGGCCAATCAGGAAGCCAGGTGGCAAGTCATTAGCCGCCCCACCGGCTTTCCTTAATGGGACTTCCGACCGCTCACTGCTGCTCTCTGCTGCTCTCTCTGCTTGTGCAGGGAGACTGGTCTGGCCTCCGCCCCCTCCTGTAATAAAGATGGAGCTTGCTTTGTGGCCACTCAGGAAGCCGGGAGGTGGGTAATGACTTGCCCCCCCAGGTTCCTGATTGGTCGGGAAGCAGGCCAATCAGGAAACCAGGCGGTGAGTCATTACCCGTCCCCGGCTTCTTGACTGGTCAGAAAGCTGGCTCCATGCTACCTTGTCGCACGGAGCGGGCGGGAGCTCCCGGCCAGTCAGGAAGCTGGGTGCCAGGTAATGACTCGCCGCCCGGCTTCCTGATTGTTCTGGAAGCTGGCCAATCAGGAAGCCAGGTGGCAAGTCATTACCCGCCCC